ACTCACCAGATGCAGACAGAATAGGCCACGTCCTTGTTGCGCTTGCTGGGGTCAGCCGCCTCCCTGCGGCGCCGGCGCCGGGCGTCGAACCAGTGGATGGGGTGGAGCGGGGCCTCAGCCGCGGGGGCCTCCCCCCCATAGTCATAGTCATAGTCATCCTCCTCGTCCACTGCGGGGCACAAACCGAGGCCTCAGCCAGCTCCGCCCAGGAAACGGGGGGCCGGCCCTTTAAAAAGTGTGGCCTAAAGGCTATGACATCATGGAGGAGGCGGGGCCTCGCTGCAGCCCTGGAGGCTCCGCCCCCCTTGTCAATGGGGAAATTGTGGGGGTTCTGCCCTGAAAAGGCCTAAAGAGCCCCGCCCACCCACTTAACCCTTCCCGCGCCAGTGGGCACTCACCCTCGAAGCGCACGTCCCCGCTGACCGTCACCTCCAGCCCCAGGCTCTGGCACGAGCCGTTGTGCAGTTCCAGCACGTTGTACAGCTTCAGCACCTGGGCACAGGAGCCGGGAGAACCCAGGAGTCCGGGCTTCCAGCCCCACCCCCACCCGCTCTAACCACCAGCCCCCACTGCCCTCCCCGAGCCGGGATAGAACCCAGGACGCCCGGCTTCTACCCCCACGTCCATGTTACTCACAGTCAGGGTCCCCTTTCCTTTCCCTTCCACCTTCACTCGGAGGTTGTCGCCCAAGGAGAACTGGGGGGAAAAAATGGGGGGATCAAATAACATGGTAAAACCAGGGGAGACACTGGGGGGCTGTGAAACCACCTCTTAGCCCATGGGCGGGAGAAATCTGGGGGACATGGAATAGGGCGGGGACTGGCTGGCTCAGGGGGGCGGGGAATGGGGCAGGGACGGGCTGGCTCAGGGGGATGGGGAATGGGGCACGGGGCCTGTCCCCTCTAGGGGGCGCCGGCTCCCACCCGGCCGCAGGGCGGGGACTGGCTGGCTCAGGGGGGCGGGGAATGGGGCTGGGACGGGCTGGCCCAGGGGGGCGGGGAATGGGGCAGGGACGGGCTGGACCAGGGGGGCGGGGCATGGGGCAGGGGCCTGTCCCCTCTAGGGGGCGGCGGCTCCCACCCGGCCCCAGGGCAGGGACTGGCTGGCTCAGGGGGGTGGGTAATGGGGCTGGGACGGGCTGCATCTGGGTTCACTCGCCTGCAGCTCTTCCTGGATGTGGTTCTGGGAGCGGTCGAGAATCACTTTCTTGGTGCCTGATCTGCCTGGGCTGGAGAACGTTAAATCCAGCGCGTTCCCTTCTGGGGTGTAGGTGTTGATCCAGTACTGGGAGAGGGCATCCAGTGCCACCACCGTGTCCTGCGAACAGCCAGCCATGGGACCCAGGAGTCCTGGCTCCCAGCACCCCCGCGCTAACCACCAGCCGCCCCGCCACTCCCCTCCCAGAGCTGGGGAGAGAACCCAGGAGTCCTGGCTCCCAGCCCCCCCTGCTCTAACCCACCAGCCCCCACTCCCCTCCCAGAGCTGGGGAGAGAACCCAGGAGTCCTGGCCGGGACCTGTGTGGATTTGAAGCCGCCACCGTAGTTCTTCTGCTCCGTCAGCCACCGGGCAACTTTCTTGGCGGTCGAGAGGTCGTTGTGCAGCACGAGGTGCAGGAGCGCGTAGGCCGTGGCCTCGACCGAGTTGGCTGAAGCGGAGGTGGCCCCACTCTGCTCCATTCCCCAAAACATCATGGTCCCCTCTGTGGGGGAGAGAGACCCAGATTCAATACACCAGCCTTGGGGGCTGCGGTACCGCCCGCCGCCACTGGGGGGAGCTGGGGGGCTGCGGTACTGCCCGCCGCCACTGGGGGGAGCTGGGGGTGCAGAGGCTGCAGTGGAGGGGCTGGGGGGGCAGAGGTTGCAGTGGGGGGGCTGGGGGGTAGAGGCTGCAGCGTGGGGGGGGCGAGGCTGCAGCCAGAGGATGCACCATTGTCCTGCAGGGCGAGGTCCCGGAGCCGGCGGTCGGCAGCCTGGATGGCGGACGCGTTGTCGGAGGCCAGGGACAGGGCGTAGGCCGTGATGGCGGCCGGGTAGGGGTCCCGGCCCCGCTCTGGCGTTGCCGACAGGTACCGCGTGGCCCGGGACAGGCTGCTTTTCTGTGCGGGGGGGAGATCAACGATCAGACAGACCCTCCCCAGCCCCCGACTCCCCCCCACTTCCCCATCTCCCTCGTAACCCC